GCTCAATCACAATTGCAACTGCCAAACGGGCAGCGTTCCGCTGATTTGTTGGCCTTGTTAACGCCAATTTATGGTCGATGCCTGATTATTGCCAATTAGCTGCAATTGTCCCACCCCCCTCCTTGCCCCAACTCACCCCTTTCGACAATTGCATTCATCCCCAATCGGAGGGTTACAAATTGCAGGCTTAACAAAAAAAAGGCCAACTAAATTTTGAGTGAGTTACTACCCAAAAAACTGAGCCCCAAAGCGCCTGCGCTGTCAAAACTATCTCAAAAGCGTACAAAAAGAAATTCGCCGAGTGTTGGAAGCAGGAAATACGCTCAAGAGTAAGCACTCATATGCGAGTGGAAAAGGTTAGGTTGTAACGTAAACTGCACATTAGATTCGAAATTATTATTAATTACTTTTTAAAAAATATATAAAAATCTAAAATATGGTTTCCTGTTTTTTGGACTAGGCATAAGAGAAAGAAGTAAAATACATATTTACGGAATGCGCCTTTTATTTAATAGATATCAATATCATTTTTTGTAAGGCGGAAGTTGTCTACCAGGCATCCTATTTGCCAAAAGACGGCGGAACTTCTAGTTCGGGACGATGAGCCAAGAGCACAAAGCCTAAGATCGTTGCGATCACAATTGCTGCCTTCATTTTGGTTAGAAAAGGGAAATAACTAAGCTTTTTATGAATTCAAAGCTTCTACTTAAGGTGAAAAATCGTATTGGCAATAGTTTTTCAGTAAAGCTAATGGATTGGTTATTCATAAATCTAATAATGTGATGTGTGACATTTCCATTTATGTAACCGTTTTTTATTATCAAGCAGGAGGAGGATTGATTAACGATGGGCACGTGGATGGGAAAAAAAATCAAAGCGTAACTTACGTTTGTTTGCCATATAGTAAAATACATTAAAAGGAAGCTTTAAACTCTGGTTTCCCATACGATTTTAAGGTTTAAACCATAATTTAAAATTTACAAAGGGACGAGAAAACTGCCCTAAGTAGATTAAATTGCCTATTGCAAAGCTATCCGTTAATCCTCCTTTTTTGGTCAATTTCCTTTCGCATCCGACATTAAAAACCTGACGGATTTTTTACCAATACATTTTATTTGTAGGGGAGAGTGGGGGAATTTCGTCAGCATTTTTTCAAAGCTATTTTTTGTCCATCTTGAGACACGTTATCATATTTCTATTTTTATTGTTGAATGCGGTTAGCACCAAGCTTAAAAATGTGACATTTCCCTTTTTTTTTAATTAGCTTGGTGATTTATAAAAAAATAAAATGTAAAACCAATATACTGGGGCAATCTCACCACACGGGGGGTAAAATCACCATACAACTGGGGAAATTTCGTCACCTGAAAAATGTAGGGAGTTTAACGCCTGAAAATATGCTACAATGATCAAGCGTACCATTTTTGTTGACGTCGTATATTTGTTGCTGCTGCTGGTAGTCTGTTCGTTAGCCAGCTCGTCAAATATAAAAATATGTATTTAAAATAGGTGCGAATTTACCCTTAGCGTAGGGTGGCGAAATTTCCCCAGACCGTACTTTTTTAGAAATAATTATTTTTCTTGCGAAAATAGGCGCGAAGTTAAAAATCACTGACGCAGAAATGCACATTATAGCACTGTGTATTATATAAAAAATCGTGTATCTTATTCCTTTTGAATTGTGGCATACAAAAAAATTTCGTCGAGAACTAAATGTAGCTTTTGAACTGTTAAAACACATTTAATATTATAGCTTAATTATCTTGGCCTTCTGTGCAAAACAAATGCATTGGTTGTGTCTGGCCGTCTTGAAGGACTAAAACAAAAAAATTATATATTTTTACGACTTATGGATTCCGAGATATTGCAGGTGACGAAATTGCCCCTCTGACGAAATTCCCCCACTCTCCCCTACTACGAACTTCATATCGTTATTTTAAGCTATGGTACAAAACTTTAGTTATTATTACATGTTTTTTTTTTTTACTATACAGTTTTAAATTTATTTTTTAAATTGCTCAACAGGCAGGAAAGCCTCATTAGCAATTCGTATCTCGCATAGATGCACTTAGTAAAAGCAGTAATTACCACTGCTACCCGTAGGGTCGACCCTATAAAGTGGACAAATCTTAGATCAGGGGCATCATCTTTCTTATGAGCGTCGAGATCTCGAAAACTAAACCAACCGGCTACCTTCAGAATGCATTAAGTCATTCTTGCGCTTAAATTATTCACACCAATACTGATTAAAACAATCGTTTAGAAGGTCACCATTTTATTTATGTATAATTGGGACTCAAGAGGAAACCTTCTGATGAGGATCCTACTTGCCGTTTTGGTCATCAGCCTTGGGTTTCTTGGTTGCGGCGTTGACGAGGGCCAGGGACATGACGGCGAAGATCAGGACTGCAAACTTCATCTTGGTAGTTGATGTGAATGATTTTAATGAGCTGGTTTCTAGCTTTTATACTTATTTTTCTGTGTAAGCGAAATAATTACATTTTCTACGGCTCTTGAAAAATAGCGTAAAGAATAATTTATTTGTGATCCACTCACTTCCTTCTATTTTTTATATTTTTGTTGCTTAAACCAAGGTCTAAACCATTTTTTAAATTTAGCAAAGGGAAGATTAAATTGCCAATTGCAAAGCTATCCGTATATCCCCCACTTTTGGACAACCTCCTTTCGCATTAAATTATTGTTATCCTTTTTTATCGACATAAAAAATCTCACCGATGTTATAGCTGCCTTATCGAGACCTGAATGCCTTTTTTCAACCTTTTAATTTTGTTGTAATCAGGTGTGTTTCTGAAAACTCTAACAATCAAAAAACAACCCAAAAGCAAATGTTGGATTTCTTCAAAAGTTTTCCGACATTTCTATAGCTACAGGCGTTTTTAAAAACATTTGAGTAGGCTTTCTACAATTTTTTCCTTTGTGGCCAATATTTAAAATCTTTTTAACATGAAAACCCGACATTTGTGTTGCTAAAAACAACCTCCTAAAATGTCGGTGAACCCGAAAAAATAGAAGTTTAAGTTTGCTTTTTGACACGCACTTGTATGAAAAACAACATAAGGGCTACTCAGTTTCATCCGACACATTTAAATTTCTTTCGATCAGCATTTTAAATTAAGCCGCTGAACACATAATCCAATGCATTTTGTTAAATCTTTATAAAAATTAATTCGAAAAAAGGTTGACGAAGCCTTGCACATTTATGAAAATGATGCAGATATTTTCAAACTCACAAACTGAACAAAATGTAGGACGAAAAAAATTGACATTTAAAAGCATCAAATTCAGGTTTGAGGGAACCCGACAATAGTTTTTGTCAGGGACCGTAAATAACAGTTATTTGAGACTTTTATTTTAAAAAGACTACTGTGATATTTTGTTTTAAACGTCAAAAATAACACTCTTTTTACTCTTGTCCACAAAGCATATGCATTTCAACAAATCTGGAAAGCAAATTAACTGTTATGTGTCCATGTCTATAAAGTGCTTAAAAACCCGTAAAATTGTTGATAAAAAATTGAACAAATCTCAGTAGGCCTTTTAAAATAAAAGTCTCAAATAACTGTTATTTACGGTCCCTGGTTTTTGTGTTGCTTTTTATTGAGTAAACATAAAAAACTAGGGAGTTTCTTAGTTGTTTGTTGTTTTTGATAACAACTCCCCGAAAAAACTCTACTGTTTTCTGGGACACACCTGAATAGTTCGTGCTACGAACTTCGTAGCCTTATTTTCAAGCTTTGGTAAAAAACTTAAGTTATTAATAGATTTTTTTTTTCTTTACTATATTTAAAAGTTTTTAATTTAATTTTTAAATTGCTCAACAAAAAAGACAGCCACATTAGCAATTCTTATCTCGCATAGATGCACTTAGTAAAAGCGGCTCGACCCTATAAAGTGGACAAATCTTGGATCAGCAGCATCATCTTTCTTATGAGCATCGAGATCGCAAAAACTAATCCAAACGGCTGCCTTCCGAATGTCATTCTTGCGCTTAAATTATTTTTACCAACACTGATTAAAACAATTGTTTAGGAGGTCACCATTTTATTTATCTATAATTGGGACTCAAGAGGAAACCTTCAGAGGAGGATCCTACTTGCCGTTTTGGTCATCAGCCTTGGGTTTTTTGGTGGCGGCGTTGACGAGGGCCAGGGACATGACGGCGAAGATCAGGACTGCAAACTTCATCTTGGTAGTTGATGTGAATGATTTGAAAGAGCTGCCTTCTGCTTTTTATACATTTTTTTTTGTTCGAAACCGAAATTATTTGATTTTCTACGGTTCTGTGATATTATTGACATTTAATGCCTTGACATTTAGGAAGTCTGGTACTCAGGAAACGTTCTAGGAAAACCCATTTCATACAAGACAAAACTAAAGTAGTTTATGTTATATAAATGTATTCTACAGAATTTAAGCATTAAAACTTTAGCATTTACTAAAAAATAATTATTTGCATAATATTCAGGGCTCTCCCATTCAAATTAAAATTAATTATAATTAATAATTTTTAAACGAATAATTTTAACCACCCATTTGAAGCCAAATATCCAAGAAAAATCGAACGTTTATGTACCAAATTGTAATTTTAATATCTGTTAACTTTGAATAAAATTGGTCATCTAGTTTAGTAATAAAATATGTATTGCAAAACTTTATATCTTCGGCCACGTCGATAACAGACATTTCATAATACCTAGTATAGGGCAAAATACAACGAAGAAATTTATGAAATCGAAATGTTCCCAAATGTCAAGGTCCTAAAAAAGTTTTATAATTAGCGAAGAGCCAGAGCCAATCAGAATGTTCAGGTGGCGAGAAAATAAAGGTAGTAGAAGGAAGTATAATAATAATCCACAAAAAAATTATTTTTTACGCTATTTAACAAGAGCCGTAAAAAATTGTATTATTTCGCTTACAAACAAAAATAAGTATAAAAGCTAGAAACCAGCTCATTCAAATCATTCACAGCAACTACCAAGATGAAGTTTGCAGTCCTGATCTTCGCCGTCATGTCCCTGGCCCTCGTCAACGCCGCCACCAAGAAACCCAAGGGTGACGACCAAAACGGCAAGTAGGATCCTCCTCTGAAGGTTCCCCTACGAGTCCCAATTATGCATAAATAAAATGTGGACACCTTAAAAAAGTCTTTTAATTAGTATCAAATCGAAAAGCAATAAGATTGCTGCCGAATAATTAGGTTGTTAGCCTGGCGGCCTGATTTTATCTAGAGGTTCCTCTTTGTATTGAGAATAGTTTGATTGGCTATTTTCGTTTGCTAAAGGGACAACATTTGTATTTATGGGTCATCCATCCAAACTATGTAAGCAAGGCCAATTTCACCCAAATATTCACTAATTATTCCGGAAATTACCTTGGAATTTTTCAAAGGATATAAGTGTAACAAATTTAGATTTAAATGTGAGGTTCTTTTATTTGAATTATTTTATTTTCATTATTTTTTATAACAACCTTTTTTATTAAGTTTTAAACCAAATGGAGGGACTGTTGCTAAATTAAAAAGAACTCCTAATTTAAAAAGTTTTTAAACTCTTTTTTGGGAAATCAACAGTGAAAGCTGGTTTCAAGCGAAATACCTACAGAAAATTTTTGTATTATTATTATTTGTATTATTTTTGTATAACATTTTCCTTAAGTCTCTTTATCTATGTTTAGTCACATAGAGCTATTTGCCTTCGGGAACCCTGGGTGCCAAGCCAGGTCTTGGTTTAAGGGTGACAAAATCTACGGGTGGCATGGCAGCTGCGAGCGAGAGGCTCAAGATGGCCAAGATAAGGAATGCGGGCTTCATTTTAGTGAGTAAAATTATAGAAACGCTGCTCTATAAAGCGAAAAATGAATATATGAAAAATTCCATTATTAAAATGGAGCAAACTAATTTGTTATGGAAATAATTTTTAAATGGTTAAAAGATTAGGAATTTACGGTATTTATCATTAGTGTTTCCTAGTCTGGTAACTAAAATATTTAAATTCTTAATGAAATAAGCAAATTCTAATAAAAAATCTTAGTTATATTAAAGTAATGTATTTTTAATATTTTGTTATTACTTAGTTTTTTATTAAACACTTCACACTTAAAGTACATGTATTACTTTAGTCGCTAAACTAGCTTCTTTAATGGGTTTCCTTTGCTGCCTCCTGTTTTAGTTTAATTTACTCTAGCATAACGAAATCGTTAGGGCGCCACATGCAATAAAATAAAAAGCAAAACGCAATTAAAATTATTTCAGACGACGCCATGCAGTGCGGCAAATGTTTTGCGTAATTGCAGTTTGGGGCTCATTAAAGACCGGGCTCGTTTCCTCCGTTTGGAAGCTCCTTGGCAGCTTAGCTGCCCACGGGTTTCCTTGGGGGTTTCCCTCGCTTTCCCTCGCTTTTCCTCGCTTTCCCAGCCGGACACAGCTGGCGTGCGAAAAGTGCCAAGCGGACTTAACAATGCGTTACATTATTGTCCTCCCACTCGCCGAGTCCGAGGAAAACATTAAAAATCCATTGCACAAAGCTAGACAAATAGACGCACACAATGGGTATCGGTGGGTCGAAGGGATTGCAGGGTTGTGCCTGCAGAATATTCCCATTCCCCCCAGACAGACAATCGGCTGGCTATATACATATAGTCGCCGTACATCAGGCGCTCCTCTGGCCAGAGTGGCTTGCTTAATTAATAAATTGATTGGATTGTTTTCACAGCACGCGGTTCGCTTGTTGTTCTATTGAGTTTTATTTCTCTGGAATCCTTTGGTGGGGGTCGATTTAATCGCAGGTTCTTGTTTTATTTTTCTGCATTTAACCAGTAAAATGTAATTCAATTTATGAAGTGAAAAGAAAGAAAATGAAATAAATCAAATAATTATAAATGTTGCGATACACTTATTCGTATTTTTGTAAACATTTTGGCAGTATAAAATAATGTAAGACTTATTTTGCAATAAATAAATTTCATGATTATGTGATTTAATAAGCTATTCACAAAAGCTTAAAGTTTCTTAAATATAATAGGTATAAATAACTCAAAATAACTCAACAACATTTTTGGGAACATTCCGATGGAGAAGAAGTCATCTGCTCAATACATAAATTGAATTTATTAACCAAGTTAACACTATTCAGGTCCTTGAAAAGGAGCAGAGGCAAACCCTTTAACCCCCTTTTACCCATCCCTTTTTAGCTGGTTTTCTGTTAACTGCTATTAAGCTAGCCACAAGTTGCTACGCGACAGGCCAACACAAACACAGGCACCAGCACACCCACACACCCACACGGAGGCAGACATAGACACACATGGGAGTCGCCTGCCTTGTTATTATGGCCAACAATTCAACAGTTATCCTTTGGCTTTAACCCCTCCCCTTAGCCCCCTTTGGGGGGATGGTTCCCCCTTTTTACGAGCGCCACTTGAACCCGTTTATTTTGCATGTGTTTGCTGGTCCCTCGCTTTTTCAGTGCTCCTTGCTTTTTTTCATTCGTGTGTGTGTGCTTCCTTGGTGGCAAACACATTTCACATGTCGCCATCGTCGTTCTGCGCACTCATTTCCGCTTCCTGTTTTGTGGCCAAAACTTCAGAGCCACAAAAAAGGTTTGTCTGTCCGCAAACAGAGCCCCACTTCCCTCCTTCCTCCTCCCTGTTTTTGGTACAATTTTCATTTGTACGCCACGGCCTCGTAAATCATGCGCTGACATGGCTAGCAAAATTGTCGCTGCAGTTCATAATAAAAAGATAAGAAAGAGGAGCGAACTGAACCGAACCGGTCGGCAAAAACAGCGGGAAATTCTGCAGCATTGGAATTTCAGCTGAGAAATGTCAAGCGGGCAAAACGGGGTAAATAAAATTAATAAACTCCACCAAGGAGGCAAGTGGCCAGATGAGGAATTATGTTTGGAATTTCGTAAGTAATTGCGTTTTGAATTGGGATAAATGGAAAGAAACATGGTTATTGCAGTTTAGAGAAAAACAAAAGTGTCAAGTATGAAATAAATGGAGTTTTTAATGTTTTAAAATGGTTTACATAGCCTTAAATTTGGTATCCATGTTATCTCTATCATGAACATATTTTCACCATTATCAACCTAATTTAATTGGTTCGTTTCAGACTTTATTAATTGAATTAACAACCCTTTTCATTTAAGATAATTAAATAAAATAGCCAACGGTGTATGGTGTATATTTTCCAAAAAACTACTCATTGAGCCAAGTCCTTTACATACTCCAATTCGATTCCATGTCCCATTACCTACCTACAAACTTCATGCAGCTCAGCTTAACTTTTATTATGTATTGCGACACGAGGCGGCATGTTGAGCTTGTAGCCCCAGACTCAGACTTTTGGCCTGGCTTTATCCTGTTGGCGGAGCCGCTGGTGCGAAGTCCGCACTAATTAATCCCTTTACGACTGAAACCTATCAAAACACAAGCTTAACTTTTCCAATAAAAATAACGACGACACCGCCACAAAAACGACAAAAAAAAACATACAAAAAACAACGAGATGCGACCGGGAAAACCGCAAAAAGCAGAAAGCATAAGGAATCTGCTAACTTCCTATGACCAGGAGCTAGAAATGCACTGAAGAAAAATATCTACAAACTTAAAAATAATCCTTATAAATTTTTAAAAACGTGCAAATTTTTTTTATTTTTAAAATGTTTTTGAGTATGTTTTCATTTATATTTATTATTTGTGCATAATTCAATGTGAATATTTCAGTATTAGGTACAACAAAAGTAAAACAATAAACTAAAAAGCAGAAAGAGTCGTACCTATTTAACATTAAATATTAAAAATGCTTTTTAAGGCAGCCTCATAATAATTTAAAGTAAATAAATTACAAGATAATATAATAAAAATTCGGACAAATTTATAAAGATTTTTTTCCCAAGTGCTCCTGACACTGAGATGCCGAAAGTCCCTCTCCAGCGGCGACAGCAGCGACTACAAGTCCCCGTCCATGAGTCCTGGTGTCCTTGTGTCCTTTCCTGGCTCAAAATGCAGCAAAAGTTGGCGCACTAATTACCAAGGATTAGTTTCATATTTGTTTGTCAACAGCGGCCAAAGCAGCCGAAGTGGTGGTGGTAGAACGACGGGTTCCTCCTTGCAACTCGAGCAGCCAGCAGCTGTTCGTGGCTAAAACCGAGAAACCGGAGCAGGAGAAGGGGAACGGGAAAAGCCGGGACCGTGGCTACCGGCGAGTGTCCTGTCCGACAAGTTGGCAAGATTATTTATGAGCTCGGCTTGGGCCAAGCGGCGAAAGAAAATCATGGCACAAAGTGAGTGAGAGGGCAGCGTTTAGCTGCCTCCGTATTCATAATGAAATTAAGTCGATTGAATGCGCTGATTATATTCGTACCATACCTTTGAGCTCGACAAAAGACCCTCGGTCGACGGGCAGTGCGTAAATCCGTTGGGGCAAGGCCATAAAGTATTTCCTAAGCAAAAAATGTAAGGCAGTTAAATATTGATGAAAGGCAGATACGCTATAAAAAAATATATTTAAATGGGTAGTTAAATATTATCTAAGAGAATAATGATTCCGTACAAAAAAATTAAATAAGAAAATATTAAAGAATTTATAATTAAATTTCACTTTTTTATTCTCGGAAAACTTATTATGTTGTTAACCACTTTGTAAAAGGTTTCATTATAATCGATTTTGTTGGAGATAAAATCAAATATATTCAACTTACGTCATTCATTCAGCTAACCAGACGCATATACCATACATTTTCGATCTGGCACAAACATCATAACAAACACACAGTACCTCTGGCATGTTTATTATTCAGGGAAAAACTTATTACCCGACCCTCCTCCGCACACATAATCAGATAGCAGAATGAGGGGGCAGGGGGCAGAGGCAACCCTTGACCAAGGACCTCGGGGTGAAGGACGAAGGACGAAGGGCTAACCACCCCCGAATCGCATGTCTCTAATGTGATTGACCCTTACGCCTCGTTGCCGGCATAATACTTGTGTTATCCCTGGCCTGGCAGGAAAGTGCAGGGATTCAGGACTCAGGACCAGGACCTTGCCTTCGCCTTCGCTCCCATGTTGGTCATCGTGGGCTTCAATAAATTATCACGCCATATAAAGCAATTAATTCTGCAGCCACTGCAGCCCCTCCGCTCGCCACTTGTTCCCCAGCTCAAGGGTTGTTTGTGTAAACTTCCTCCATATTATTTGCTTATAGCTGGCTTCCTTTTTATCCACTCTGTTTTTATTTTTTTTCGGCCTTTGGAAGTCGGGATAAATAAGGTTTTAATGGGGTTTTGCTCTTGTTTTCTGTTAATTGATATTTCCTGCGCCATCGTCACTTTCATCCATAATTCGATTTTCTATGTAGTGCAAATTTTTCAATTATTTCCACAGCTATTTTTTAGTGTCCTCGTTTGTGTGGCACTGCAAAGTGGCTGGCAAATTACTTTCGCCTTTACTTTGTCGATGGAAAACGGGGGGTGTGGAGGTTAGAGTGGGGTTATGGTTCGGTTAGGGGTCCTTTTATGGGTCCTGTCATGTAAGCGGTCAGCTTGTAAGCTTGATTGGCTTTTTCTTGCGGTCGTCTGACACTGCAGCGTAACAATGTTTGGCTGAAAATTAAGTTTTGTGCTCTAGTTTGTAGAACATTTTTCAATTTTTTCAATCCTGCAGTAGTTGTAGTGAAAGTGTTTTCAAGCCTTGTTTTAAAGGACATTGTGGCAATTTTGTTTCTCTGGGCATATTCATTTTAGTATCGTTAAACCTTCAATAAAAATTGTTTTCTTAAATGTACTTCCCCTTATCGAAAACCATATAGATTGAGTTATTTACATACACTCAGAAAAAAAGCCGTGAAAGTGAGCCAAGGTCGATTCCATCTGAAGTTCTCAAAATTAAGACTAAATCGAGACTAATATAATCTTTATTTCAATAATGAGAGAACTTTCGCTTTGATCTCAAGAACGTTTCTTCTTAAAAAAGCAAGATCTCGAGTTTCCAAAATATGAACATTTGTTCCTAGCTTTTTTCAGCGTGCAGTTATATTTATTTCCCCCAGCGACCCAGTTAGGCTATATTATGTTCCATCGACGCATAAGTTCACTGTCATTTGTCGCTGGCGAGTGCCAAGCAATCAATTTCCCAGACAACGAGGACAGCCGCGCCTTTGTTTAAATTTTGGCAAGGCACAATAATTTTCCTACGCAATTCGGTTATTAGACCCTCCCATTCATGTTTGGCCTGCCAAAATAAAGGCGTGTGCCTTGGGTCCTTGGAGAAGTTTTTCGGGAATAAAAACCCCACCCGATCCGACCTCATAAATTATGTTGACAAAATGCATTGCAGTGGGCGTGCCCCACGCCCCATAATTAGTGCATTAATAAAGCCAAGAGACTGTTGGCAGATGGATAGACAATAGAATCGGATAGTTTTATTTATGCGATTTGACGGCGCTGCAGCGGAGGCGATCCAATAAAGTAGTCGAATCCGGCTAACGGCTCTCGCTTGTTGTCGCAAACAACGCCATAATAATGTAATGAAATTTATGATGCGCATTTAATGTACTCGCAGTCCACTCCTCGCATAACAACAACAGCGCGACAATAAACGACAGACCCGCAGTGCGAGGGGTGAACGAGAACTTAGTCTTGGATGGGTTGGACTAGCGATGGGAGTACACCGAAAAAAACAAAGGAATTTTTGAGGATTTTTAAGATTTTCTGAATATGAATAATAAATTATTATGTTATGAATAAAAATTTAATTCGAAAGCCTAAGGGTATGCAATAAATAATATTAAGTAAATAACTAATTCAAATAATTGGTTTAGATTTAAAGATTTTCTTATGTTTTAATTAGAGAGAAGAGAGAACGCTGTAGTCGAGCACCTCGACTATCAGATACTCGTTACTATGATAAAAGGTGAGCAAGGAGGTGAAGTAATGCCAGCAGTAAATCGACTGGTCATATCTTCTAAAATTGTCTTGTACATGTTAAAGAGTATTAATAACGGATATAACAACTTTGACAAAAATTATGAATAAATGAAATAAATAATTGTGTCTTAAGGCAATATCCCAATTGAACTACTATTTATTTTATCTGTACGACTGCCTTTGAATGTCCCGACGAACAAAGCCAACACTTAACTGATTTCAAAATTACATTGCCGCGAGTGTGAGTGTGAGTGGATTGCTAGGCGAGTGTATATGTATAATATGGCATATAATTTTATTGCTTATTGTTCGCGCTGGTCAAGGCAGTTTTCCACCTCTCCGCCCCCCAATTTGCGCCCATCCCCTTGTAATTTGTGCGTTTGTGCGTGATGAGAGGCGAAAGCCGTCCTGGACGGCGAATCGAGACGACAGGGTAAATATTTGTGCTGGGCAAACGTTAGTTGCGGCAATCTGGACACATATCCATGTGTACAATGGGTTCGAGTCCCTTGTTTGTTTAGTTTTCATAGATTTTTATTGTCTCAACGCAATGCATTTATTGGGAAAACGAAGGGAAAATTGATTGCCGGGCGGAATCAAGGTTAGGGTTTCCTAGAGGAAACTTTTAATGTCTATATGACCAGACCTATTGTTATTCAAAATTACTTTTTTTTTTTGAAACTATATTAGAGTTACGGGATAGAAGCATTTATATAATTTCAATTATTTCTTTTATATATGAAATAAGGTGACAACTCTGGCTTTTAACGATTCAACAACCTTGATGTTGATCGATTGCTGACTAGTTTAGGTAATACTCGAAATAAAAAAGGGACCGTCAAGTCAAACCCTTTAAAGTATCCTTAAAACATAAACAAACATCGATATTTTTGAACAACAATCGGTTCCCAAAAAAAGTACCAGTGTAAAAGTCATAATAATTGTTTGTCACCTCAAATTTGTTTCTGCCCAGCTTGTTAATTCGATTCTGCATAAATTTGTTGTCTCTTTATTTTAAGTAATTAGATTTAAGTTTGCAATTAACTTTTAGAGGTATAAGTAGCTGTCGCTTATGAAAGAGTTGAATTTGCACAAAAGGTAAGATATACTAAAGGTGTTTAGATTTGGGATGACCTTTCGTTTTCACAGGTTTGCAAAATATTTGTAACTACAAACTGTTGATTGGATTATTTTTTATATAACCTGCGAGTGTAAATGGAGTTCACAAAGGATAGTGTCATAAAGGCGATTGACATGTTGAATACGGCGAACTTTGAGGAAGCGGATAACTACCTGGACTCCTTTCAGAAATCGAATGAAGCTTGGTTAATTGCCGAGGAAATACTTTCTCACCGGCCACACCATGAAATGCACATTCTGACCTTCGCAGCCATCAGTTTGGCCAAGAAAATCAAGTATAGTTTTCACTTGCTTGGAAGATCCGAGCTTAGCTCTTTAAAGTATTGCCTGGTAGATCACCTGATAAACGCATCCATGATACCGGATTCCAAGCCGTTGATTGTGCAACTGGGAGTGTGCCTATCGGTTTTGGGCCTGATGACCTCCGAATGGGACCACGAACTGCAGAGCTTTGTGCAGCGGCTGTCGGGCAGAGCGGAGCACGTGGTTGCTCTCCTGGAGGTCCTGAAGGTCCTGCCCGAAGAGACTCGGCCCTCGAATCTCCCGCTCTCTGGGAGTCACCTAAATTGCGTCTTTCATGAGCTCCGCTTGCAGTCTTCCTATGTGCTAAATGTGCTGGAAGAACTCCTAGAGCGAACGGATCTTCCCAGCTGTTGCTTGTCAAAGTGCTTGGCTGTTTGCGGTTCCTGGACAAAGTTTGGCCTGGTTTCACCCGATCAAGTGCTGGAACGCAAACTCTTTCAGCGGGCTCATGTCATCCTGGCTGCCTCACTGGACGAAGGACACTCGGAGGCGGCGGATTGCATAGTGGCCATGCTGGAGCAATCGCTGGTCTCCAACAATCTGGATAATCGTTTGGCTCAGATGGTCGTTGGCCTACAGCCGGCCTTCAATCGCTCCTTGAACAATATCCAACTGCTGCAAAACTATTGCTATATATTTGTCAATCTTTTCAAGACCCACTTTCAATTGACCAAAAGGGATCCTACCAAAATCCAAGAGAGATTGACAACCATCGAGCTATTGCTACTGATAGCCGAAAAATGCCCATTGGAGCTGGTTGAAACCTCACTGGATATGTGGTATTTGCTATCAGGGGATAACCAGGTCGATCCTAACTCGAACTCCCTATACAAACCCTACTTCATGCGTCTCCTAAATCTGCTCTTTCCTCGCAGTCGTTTGCCAGCGAGTTATGAGTCGATTCTACCACCCGAACCCGATTCCCTGGATATTCATCGCTTTCGAGGAGTTATGGCCGAGCTCCTGGTGGACGTGGCCCACTTGGTGGATGTGGAAACCATGGAGATGCTGTACAATATCGTTAGGAACGAGCAGAGTCCCTGGGAAGATGTGGAGGTGGCCCTGTTTTTCCTGCGTCACCTGATGGGGCAGTTTAAGGAGCGCCAGACCCAGATGATCCTGAACATTTTGGATAGTGTAAAGGATCGCCAGCAGGCCTTTATACGCCTGCAAGTCCTGGAGTTGATCTCCATTCCGGAAACCGTCGATATCACTACCATCTGGAATTGTCTGGTCAGGGAACTGCAAAGGGACTTTCCCATGCTGGCGGCCATCGAGTCCCGCCTAAAGCTTCTGATGCCTCAATGTGATTATTTCATAGTCCTGGCCACCATGGTGGATGAGTTCTGTTTGGTGGAGAGCGATCGGTGTCGCCTTTTGGCACATGTTTGCGCTTTAATCAGGCAACTACCCCAATCGGATATTTATGAAGTTAAAAAGCATATGCTTAATATACAGTGGAAAGACTGCCCAGATTATGTACGAGAAAATCGTATCAAGGTGCTTCAGGCTATTTAAAGAAGTCACAAACTTTATTAACGTTTATTAAAAAAACATTTTATTTTGTAAACAAAATCATAAATTCTTTAAAGGTATAATGATATGTTGTGTATGTCAGGGTATTTTAACAAGTAACAAACTTTATTAAGGTTTTTTAAATTTTGAATTACAAGTTCAAGATATAAACATTTTATTTTGTAGACCAATCCCAACCTATTAGCAACATGACTCAGCTTTATGACGACATTCCAAGGCTTCCCAGTCATAAAACGGCAATCCACGCAAATAGACAAGTTAATTTTGGTAACTAATTTGGCAACAGCTAAGGGCCAACACACGCCTAAATCGTAAAATAAAATCAGATCAGATCCGAAAGAGTCGTGGCTCATTTAGCCGTCGTGCTTTTTCGTTGCCTTTGGCCAAGGAAGTGACTGAGTGACATTGACGTTGGACTGACACGTGATATCAATTCTCGTTTTCGTCCTTGGCGATGATTCAACCGAATCACAAAGGACCTCGGCTGGCTGATGAGGTGCAAAAGAGTGGGCCGCCAAGGAGCAGAACCAGGAATATGCGTCAAACCCATTCCTGTTGCTCCTTTTTGTGCTTTTTTCCTTTTCGCCTGCGCACTTCCGCAATAATTTTTATCGCATTTATTTCTCTCGGAGCTGAGAATTTTTACTGCCGCCTGCCGACTGCCTTTGCCTTTGGCCACATTTCAGTTCTGCTGTTGGGTTTTGGGTGGGTTTTCCTAGGCGCCACTTGAACTATGAAAATTTGTCCCGCCTTGCTGGCGCCGTGTTTATCGATCGCGCATGGAAAACACTTTTGCCATTTGCTTTATCTGCCAGCAAACATTGCCGGGCAGAAGGAAAAATATATGTATGTGGGCAGGAGAGAGGGTAGACAGGACTTCGGACTTGGTTCGTTGGTCTTGGTTCCATTTCCATTTTCAGTTCCCCCCTCAAAGCGTCCACAATTTCGTTTGGCGCATTTTCGCTTTCCCTCGGAAAGCGTGGTGCGTTCATAAATATTCCGTTTTTGCTTTGCTTTCGTACGTATGTGTGTGTTTTAAGTGTGTTTCTGTTTTTGCAGCAATTTCAGTTTTTATTCCCGTAATTTATATGCCCCCCACTTATTGGGGTAGGTTGGGGTAAACGTTTTCCAAGAACCTAAAAAAAGAAATCAAGCAGCAGGTCTAAGGTTATCAGAGGTTGGCACTGAGTTGCAATTACCACTCGTGTAATATGGCGGTTTGTGCAAGTGGCCAACTTTGGAATAGGACTTGCATTATGGGACAATTATGGGAGTTTACTTGGGTTTTTAAAATTGGCTAGTATAGAAGGGAGAAGAATTTTATTAATCATTTTCCAGTTTAGAAACAATAAACTCACACATTTTTAAGATAAATTTTTTTATTTAATTTTTTAAGCAAGTATTTGTTTAATAAAAATGTACTTATAAAAGGTTTTAAAATTATTAAAAACTAGAATATATTTAAAAATACTCAATTTAGAAAAACAGAACTAAAAAAATAAAAATGACATTAAAATTGTATTATTATAAAAATCTTTCAAGATAAAAGGTTTTTTGTTGCCCTGCTTATAGATTACTTTTTCATTTTATGAGCAATTTAAAAATTCCTTCTAACTTTTTTTGTAACCTCATCTCAAAAGCATCCCTCTCTCAACTAATTCGCCACCCAACTCATCCCACTTCAGACCCACTTCAAGTGACCCTCATAATTTACAAAAACATTTCATTTTAAAAATTAATTTCAAGCATTGGCCCCAAATGGAAAATTTGTTTTAATTGATGATTTACGTTGCCAGTCACGAGCTGTGTGGAACCCTTCTCTCTAATGAGGACAGTTGTTGTGGGCAAGTGTTAACATGGAAACACCCCTCCCCCGGGCGCCACTCCACAGCGAAAGCAGCGCCGCTAATCAAGTGTTAAAGAAGGATACCCGGACAGCTGAAGGAACTTGGTCGTATTGCCCGTCGTCCGCGGGGACCTTTTTGCCTCGTCCTTTTAAATATTTAAGTGGATTTATCCTGGCTTGGTTTGGGGGGAAGAAGAAGGAGGAGGAAGGATATTCAGACAGACTTGGAGCACTTCCTTCTCCATTTAGAAAATTTGCATGCAACTTTTTGCTGCAGTTTTTGCCGCTGCCGCCGGTGCTGCTTTTATTTTTCCACCTGTCGCGTAAAATTTCACACAGCAGCATAAATTTCAGCCCGACGGCAACCGCACCGGAGGGCGGAAAACCACCTGTCCACGCCCACACCTCCGCGAACGTCGCCCCCGAGGATCCAGTTGCAGGCGGTTTTCCCTCAGGCGACGCGCCGCATTTGACGCCACATAATTTTGCTGTCGGTGGAACTTTTTGTTGGTCGCTTGTTGTTTTTTACTTCCCACCCCCTCCCCCTCGTTGTTCCCTTAAATTTGCGTATTTGTTGGACCAGCCACGCCCCCTGCGCTGCCCTTACGCCCACTCCCACGCCCGTCGCATTGGCGAAATTTATTTGGCGACAATAACAAAAGTTTTGCATACTTTGGGCGGTTTCGGCGGCATTTCATTTACGATTTCGTTTTCGTTTTGTTTGCTAATTAAAAGTAAGTGCAGCGTCCCTCTCACCTGACAAAATGGCACTGTGGTCGCTGAGTTAATAAATAAGTGGGGAAAATGTTAAATTAAAATGTCTAAAAAAGACCCATAAAAATACCTAACGGGATAAATACATATTTTTACAAATTTAATTTTTTTTTACAATTTGTGGACAAGAGTAAGTAATGCTTTTTGAAAGGAAAGAAAAGCCTGAAGATTTTATATGCATTTTATTTTACTAACATTTTTTAAAAACTCAACAAGCCTTTACTCAAAAAGGAAAGTCATAAATACAGTTCCAATGAATCCTTTTTAATATTTTGCACATACTTTAAATGTTTGTAAAATTTCCAACAGTGCTTAGACAATAATGATAATAAGCCAACTGATCTGTATATTTTTTTCCTACCACTGTGCAGCAAAGGTATCTTAACCGGCTTAAAAAAACGACCGTCTCCGGCTAAATTAATCGCAGAAAATGGGCGATTTTAAAGAAATATTTTGGAAAACTGCACACGTGTTAGCTGCCTGCCATCCGGCGCCCTCTGCCCCTGCCACGCCCACTGGGGACGCCATTTTGCACGCGAACTTTGGCCGCAGTTTGACATTTTGCCGCAAGGAAAAAGCCCCACGAAAGGAAAGACTTGAAAATAAAAAGGAGCGCGGCGAACATTTAAAACTTTCGCAGTTTTAAATTGTCGCAGAGCAAGAAGGAATGGCAGCAAAGGCTGCAGTTGACTTTCTTTTTCTGCCCCTTAGCCCCCATAAACCCCTCACCCCTCCGAAAAAAGGAAACCCTTGGCCCACGGAAAACCTCAACTGAAAACTCAACTCGATGCGACTGTCAATTGCAAATGTCACACTGGGAAAGCTCTGAGGGCAAAGCTGGAACTGAAAGTGGAGTCGGTCTTTCCGCTCGGCTGTCACTAATTCCCCCAGCTCGATTTGCATTTTTCGGTTTCGGTTTGGGTTTTTCCTTTACCGTGTTGCACACACAAACACACACACACAGAGTACTTGTTTTCCCTCTTTTTGTGTGTCCCATCAGCCTTTTTTCGGGGCCGTGTGCCGCAGCGGTTTTTCTAAATAAATTGAACATTTGCTAATATCTTGATCAAATGTCGCTGTTATACCGCTTGATAAATGGAAATTTTGCTGTTGTCTGAAGGTTTTCCAACTCTCTTGTTTTTCGGTCGAGTGTTTTTTAACAGTTCGCTTGATTGAGTTGGTTAGCGGCTGGGACCTGACAAATAAATAAACTCGAAAATTGCTGCGGATTATAGTTTTCTCTTCCATTTTATTTTCCGGAGATAAAACTAAATGATCTTTCTGGAGCACGCTTAAATTGTAATAAAGGTTTACGGCAAGAAAGGATTTAATTTAACTATTTTAATACTTCATAAAATATAATATGGATAACTCAATATTAGCTAAGATTTTAAATAAAATATTAATTATAATAATTATTATTATTTTAAAAGTCTGTAAAATAAATAATTTTTAATAAAATATTGTTATGGAAAATGTAACTATTTAAATATTTAATAAAAAATCATTTACTTATTGGGCACAGCTAAATATTTATATTAATTATTTCAAGATATATCTTTTTAAATAAAACCCTTAAAAATATTCAAAATTTAGCTAAAAAACCTTGTAAACAGAACCATGTATTCTGGTTGCTTTTCCGCAAAAGTTTCGCTTTTCTGGCAGCAAATTTACAAGGCAAAACAAACTAATAAGAAAGTACGTGCGAATAATTTTACAAATTAGACGAAGGCATCGAAGAAGAAGAGTGTGGTGACACCCGCACGCCGGGGCCTGTAACCAAATACTTCTTGAGACACTATTTTCGGGGGCCATAAAGCCCCAACTAACATGATAAGAGACCAGGGACTCGTGTAGAAACCAGACACGCCTCAAACTTTGTGCCGCAATACTGTTAAATGCAAACTGTAAACAAGAAGAGCTGGCAGCAACTATTTTGCGTGCGGCGCATCGCTGGCTATCGTTGTTTTTATTTTCTGAAAACTCAAGGCGTTGCTACGACGACCACACGTCGGATACTCGATATCGAGGAAGTGTTGCGTATGATAGAAGTTGAGAGTTTAAAGCAATTACAGTGATGGCTTCCAAGTCAAAAGAAATTAGTTATTTTGTCAACTAAATAAGTTTGAAAAAAGGTCTTTAATTATTAAATTTAATAATTTTTCTTATATAATATTATTATTTTATTTTGGTATTTAAAACGTTATTACAAATATATAAAATAAAGGAGACAACATTTTTGATTTAACAGACTTTTTCAAATAAAAAAAAGAAATAAATTTTTTTCAAAGATCTCTAAATTTTTTTATTTTTCCCAAATAAATACCAGTAATTGTTTGCACACTTTATCCACCAAAGGGAAACTTGTCCTGAGTTTCACTCATTTTCCGTGAGCTAGTTTCGATTCTGGGGCCAAACAAAAAGCAATTAGCTGGCACAAATCCGTGGAAAAACAACAGGGAATCAAGTCAGTCGGGGGAGCGGGGCAAAAGAAAAACAGAGCAACCGGGAAAAAGTCCAATAATAAATAAATAAAACTTAAAGCAACTCACATTAATGAGGCCGCTTGGCGCCACTTGGCATGACAAACATGTGGCGCACGTGGCCAGCAAACCGAACTCGGACTGCTCCCGGGTGTTTTTGGGTGGGTGGATGAGCCACCCAGTGGGTGAATGGGGGTAGTGGATGATGGGGCTTCAGCACTAATTCCCTAACATGTCACGAATCATATTGAACATGCGGCTGTGCCAAATGATGATGAGCGCCGGCCAATGAAGGCGGGCTACATACATATATTTGTGGAGGAGCGGGAAAAGCCAAGGAGGAAAAGCGGGAAAACTGACAGACAGTCGGACGACGAGCATAGAAATTAAGCCAAGTGTTGTCTGCTTCCTGCAATGGGATGGCTAACACTTAACTCATTTTCTACATGTGCCGCATACTAAGAGTGCAATGCTCATTTCGGTTTGCCGGCAATTATAATTGGGTGTGCGGAAATTGTGTAATTTTTCACAAATTTTCATGCATCATTCCTCCCCCCTTTTGCCCCATTAATTATTATTTTGCTCGCACATTTCGCTGATTTATTGAGTGTCAGCTGGGCGGGGGATATATATTCAGGATATATATGTGTATACAGTGGCAAATTATTTTATTCGGTGCCCCAACAGCAGCTGCAATCACTGCGGCCTACAAATCTCTCCTGCGGAAAGCAGAAAAAAAATTAAATGCAAATTGCAAATGAAATTACATGCACTTCCACTTGAGAAGAGCGCAGGCCAAAAAACGCAAAGGCAAAAATAAAAATTATTAAACAATCAACAGCTCAAACAGAAGCTGCGGAGTACGGAATACCTAGACGGGAAACGGGAAATCCCCACCCCCTCATCGCTCCCCCTCATGATGACGCACATTAAAAGCCTGCAACATTCCGACCGCCATTAAGTCAAATGGATGAGCTTGTGTGTAATAAAATTTTTTATTATCATCTGTCGCTTGCGCTTGAAGCATCGAAATGAAAACCAGAAAAAAAGTATAAAATAAAACACGAAGTGAGTGGAAGATGAATATCTGGAAGCTATCAATGGGAAATGGTAAATGCCCTTTGGGAGAGCAAATTAGGCACAACATTTAAGGGCCTAATGATAAAATAATTTGTGTATTCTTTAGGCAATAAGAAATTTTCTAAAATAAATGAAGAATATTTCAATCAGCAAATGGCTTAGGAAATAATATCCATTATAATTTTAGTCATTAAATTCCAGTATTTCATTTAACTTAAACGTTGTATTTAGCAATTTTTCGATTTATAAAAAATAGGTATTTCCCCAATTGGTTTTTTCCTGTAAATTGTTCAAAAAGAATCCTAAATGTAAAAGATGCAGTGTTTTGTATAGCCAATAATTCTATATATTGAATAATATTTTGATGTATTTTTCCACTATTTCCATCCACCAACTGATTGAGCCAGCCAATCGAACCACTTATCCTGTAAGGACATTCAGACCACCATTGCCTTGTCTTTCTTGGTAAATTCACACAAAACATCACGGATGCCCGCAGAAAGGGACGGGCAGAGCGAATAGAGGGGGAAAGAGAGACATTCGGGCAGACAGGCGCAGGCATTCAGAAAAATGATGGTCAGCCACAACGGCAGCAACAACAATCGGGAAATATCAGCAACAAACTTTCGAAAAACAATTTTTTCACTTTGTCTGCCGCCTAGGGAATATATATATATATTTTTGTATTTTTCTCTTTTTAGTTTTATGGCATTTTAAAAGTAGTCAGAGCTCCAACGCCAGCGGCCTGGCATTTTACACTCGAGTGGCGTGAAAATTCATTAAAAAATTGTGTTTAACATGCCACACAAAAACAGGAGCAGCAGCACACCATCACCATCAGCATCGGCTACCGAAAAAATATAAATGCAAAAAAAAGGAGAAAATTTTTGCGAAATTTTTTATTGCGGTCCAACAGCGCCAGCGGAATTTTCGTCGGTCCCACGGATCTTTTGCATTAATGGCCGCACTTTTGGCGTACTTTTTGACATTTATTTGACGCATGGCAATGATGTTCATAAATTTTTCCCCGGACGAAATGCAATTCGCTCATTGCAGCGGCATTTTGGGATGGATTTACCATTTCCGCTGGGAATCTCTAGCTGTGTCTTGAGTCTACGGCCGAAATGAGGCCTGTCACCGCCAGTTGTCTTTCGATAAAGGGTCCTCCCAAACCCAACTCCAAGCAATATGTGGAAAGCAATTTATGGCAAAGAAACTCGCAGAATGGGAACAACTTGGGGTTGGCAGCACCAGAACAATGGCACGAGGCCTTGGTGACTTGTCAGAAGGAACAGCGGAGGGGGAGGGGCTAACCCCCTCAGCGAAATTCATTTGTTATGCAAGCTACATTTCCGTTTCCGGTTAACACAGTTAGCAGCACGACTCAAGACCAATTGAAAGCGCCGGGAACAACGAGGGCCACAAAACAAGAACAGGAACAAATACTGCAACGTCAAGTCGGAAAAGTAATTTGCATTTGTTCGCTGATTAATTACAGGAGAGCTTAATGATGGAAAACATTTCGAGGCTTTATTGGTTTAAGTTCCGAGGGGTAGATTGATTTTTTGAAAACTGTTCAAGTGGAGTTTAGTTATTTGGAATCAATAAAAAAATGAAACTTTTTAATAACAATAAATAAAAATATATTATTAATTACACTTTATTTTTTCAAATATTAAAATCAATATTACCAATGAAATACCTAAACCACCATTGCGTATACGTTACGTAATCCTTTTTTTGCGCTTGTGTGATAAGCAAAAGATATGCAAATGTCTTGAAAGCGAAAAGTATTTCTAGCTTATTTGCATTTCTGCAACGAGCGTCGCATTGCGGTCGGAAAAGTCAAGCGGAAAAAGGCCCGATTAAAATGCATTTGGGCCCTAAGCCCCATTTCGTAGACCCATCACCATCAGATGGCAGTGTGAGTTGGCAAAAGGGTTTGCTTTCGAAGATGGAATGGCTGCCCAATTGTTTATACCACACGTACAGCCCATAAATTTGCCACACACAAATGCGTTGAGTATCTATCGCGCACTATATCATTATTTGCCAACTTGAGGTGAGCATTATTAATTATCGCCGGCGATGAGAGCTTGACTCAAAGGAAGTGCTCTTCTTGCGGCTGAATGGAGTTGAATTTTGTAATTACAAAGTTTTTGACTACATCTACATCATTACAATCTGTATATTTAATAAATTAATAAGCAAACATTTTTCCAAAATTTTAATTTTTATGTCGATAAATAAAAATTCGATTCTTAATATTCAAGAAATTAATTTTTATTCTTTTTTCTATAAGTAATAAATAATTTTAAATTGCATTTAATTATTTTAATATTTTACAGTCTATAACCTTTTTAAAATATGAAATTTGTCCTATTTTTTTGGATAACATTTTTCAATCACATAAAAAAATTACTCAGATCAGATTCCTGACTCAAAAACAGTGACTCTCATCATCAGCATCACCAGTCGCACTAACCACTTCACCCACCCACCCACTCTAGGGGTGGCATTCCACTGCAGTTGCTGTCAAGTCAAGTTGGCCGCAACACGTTGCCCCTAATGATTTATCATCGCTCACGCTTATACTTATGCTTATGAGTGCCGCACGATGATGTGGATGTAGATGATAATGATGAGCAGAAGGACGAGGACGAAGAGGACAACGATGAGGACGAGAACGGCACTGAGTGCTCAAGTGGTGCATCCTTTGCCATCCTTGGCGTTAATATCTGTTTAGCTGCACTCTGGCTTTCTGCATTTAAGCCACTACTAATTTATGCAGAGTGACTTCTCGGCTTTTGGCTTAAACTGCCAGCCAAGTGAGAGCGTTGTGTGGATCGTTCGAATGCGATGCGATTCGATTTGCATTGGCATTAGACGGCATTCAATTAACCAAATAACACTTGTGGAGCATCGATTGGATGGAAGTGATAAACGATTTACGTAATATTATTAATTCCATTTTATTACTCATTCTAATTGATGACAATATTATTTCAATAAAATATTTCTGTATTTTTCAAACGGCTTAAAATATTATTTTAGCAAGCCTTGAACTACAAATCAGAATTTTTGTTTTCACTAAAAACAAGAAGCAGAAAATATTTTCAAAACCAATCCATAGATCGCAAATAAATGTAAGTTGTTGACGGAAATAACGAAGTACCAATTCCCTAATCTCTCTTCATAGTAACACATTTAAAAAATGGCCGATGGACAAAATTTTACCATGGCTCCTTTTCCACCGGAAGCCATAGAGTATTCAAGTACTGAGGGGGAGCCCAAGATCTCTTGCGGTGAAATCGCTATGCCAAGTGTCCTTGTATCGGCCATTATGATCTTGGGACAAATAATGTGGCTTAAACTAAGCGCCAAGTGGGAAAATTTGAGAGAAGGCGATCTGCAGAGAAATCCTGTGAAACTTCTGGAAGGAAAGACAACTCGTGACAGGAGTAGCAAATATAACCATAGACTTTCAGGTTAATTTGGTTCCCCTGTCTCAAATAGTCTATTAATTTTAAGGCTTAATTTGGATCTATAAAACCCAACTGCTGAGAAACGATTTCAATTGTTTTATTCGATGTTTCCCTTTTCGAGTTATTGGCTTAAATTAAAAGTACCCAACGCCAGCTTCACTTCCAATTCCAGTTCCAGACTTTTCATCTTCAAATTAAAGGCAATCAAGCGGAGTCCTGCTGCCGTGGCTCCTCATCCTTTCGGCTCCTTGGTCAGCGCTCCTTTGGCATCTTCTGTCCGGCAATGAAGACATTTTGAATAGCACAAAAACAAACAAGCGGCAACCAAATGCCAGCACTTGCCGCTGCCACTGTCCCGTTCTCGAGTTTCCCAGCTTCCTTTGGTTTTTCTTCGTGCCTGCTTCATCTTCGTCTTGGGTTTTAGTACACTGAAGAAAATAATCAATAGGTTGTCAATGCATTCTCTAATGCCTTTTTGTTTAGAAAAATGGAACCTACTAATTTAAAACAGATCAAAAAAAGGATTAAAATATGCCAATAAGTATTAACTTTGGCTTAAATTATGAATATATGACCATAAAAAACTAAATGTAATTAATTTTAAATTAAAAACAAGAGAGAACGCTATAGTCGGGTTGTTGTCCCGACTATCTAATACCCGTCACTCAGCTAAAGCTAGTGCGAACGCTGTGTCGGGTTGGTGTCCCGACTAATAATCGTAACTCAGCGTAAGGGAGTGCGAGGGAGATAGATATATAATTTTTGATTGCGTATAACTTTTTAATGAATGGTCCGAATGGTTCTACATTTCGATAGGTATAAATATACACAACAAAATTGCATTTATACTTCTCGGAAATCTTTAAAGATGTGGGCGCAGGACCCATTTTAAAATCGTTAGTGGGCGATTGTGGGCGTTAGAGGGGGCGTGGCGCTCGGCTAAAATAAACTTGCGCTGCGTAGGAAGCCAAAGAATATGTGTGGGAAATCTCAACCTTCTAGCTTTTGTAGTTTCTGAGATCTCAGCGTTCATACAGACGGACAGACAGACAGACAGACAGACAGACAGACGGACAGACGGACAGACGGACAGACGGACAGACGGACATGGCTAGATCGACTCGGCTAGTGACCCTGATCAAGAATATATATACTTTATGGGGTCGGAAACGCTTCCTTCTAGCTGTTACATACTTTTGCACGAATCTAGTATACCCTTTTACTCTACGAGTAACGGGTATAAAAATCGTATGTTTTACTTAAATTTAAACATCACTATGGACGGCAGTCCATGTAGTGACGAAGCGCACCAGGAGAGTGTGCGAAGGCGACTACTATTATATAGCCGCAAAATTGAAAATCTGCTGTGATAGTCCGATCGTAATGAGTAATACACCAATCGAAAGGTATTGCAATAACTTAAAGGATTGCATACCAAGACTTTAAGAAAATCAATTGGCTTGGGAGAGAGAGCGGTGAAAGTGAAAAATTGAAAATTTCGAAATTTGGAGCTGTTGGGGCCGGTGGGGATAAATGCCCCCTCGCAATGTTTTAGTTGTATTCCTCTTGAAAATACCCGTCGAATGAGGGATCATTTGTCAAAATCCGACTCTCCGTTCAAAAGTTATAGCCAAAATAAGATTTTCTTCTTCTTCCCAAAATGAAAATTAATTTCTGTTTGTCCACTTGTCCACTTGTCCAAAATATGTTTTTTAAGTTCTGAAAATTTGATATGACGTTCATCACATCGATATAAAAAACTTTTGTTCTACCACTTTTGGAAAAACCCGCTAGTTTAGCGGGAAAACAGCTATAAATAGCTAAAATTCGGAAAGCCGTAACTTCTATACTACTAAAGCTACAGGCTTGTGCTGCATCTCGTTTGAAAGGTATTTTTAAATGCTATAAACGCCTTCTATATGCAATTTGTGTAAATGTAATAATTAAAAAGATATGAACAAAAGACAATTTTTTAAAACTTTTTTTTAGCTTTTTTTTATTTTTCTCAAAAACGGCTCTAACGATTTTCTTTAAAACCTTAAACTGTATAGCCCTTGAGATTCCTTAAATTTTGGTATATAACACATTACTGTAAAAAGTCACGTTTAAAAGTTATTTTTATACGAAAATAGCCACTTTTGCCAGCTCGAACAACTAAAGCTTCCTGAGTATTGAATTTTGTGTGAGGGTATCCGAACTGTATTTTAGGGTCATGGAATCAGTAAATTTGCACTTAAGAGTTCCATATAGGAATCTTTTGTTCTACGACTTTTGGAAAAACCCGCTGCTTTAGCGGAAAAAAAGCTAGAAATAGCTAAATTTCGTTAGTTTGTAAGTTCTACACTACTAAAGCTACAGACATGTGCTATACCTCGTTTAAAAGGTATTTTGAAATACTTAAACGGTTTTTAACTTAATTTGTTTAAATACAATGGTTTACAAATTATGATTGACCAATTTAAATTTAAATGTATATACCAGCTCCTATGAGAGCAAATATAAACAAACAAAAACTTCTGATATCAAATAAAAACACCTCTTAACGAGGTAAAAAACTAGTGACGATCGCACCTTCAACATACAAAAGTTCTGATATCAACATTTGTGACGAAAAATTATTACACTCGTCATTAAATAGACTTTCTAATATTTTCTCATTCGGCACTCTGCAATAGAAAATGCCTGTAAAGGGAAAAAGGCTGGAATAGTTTGCTAGGGCGGGCCGAATGAGAAAATATTAGAAAGTCTATTTAATGACGAGTGTAATAATTTTTCGTCACAAATGTTGATATCAGAACTTTTGTATGTTGAAGGTGCGATCGTCACTAGTTTTTTACCTCGTTAAGAGGTGTTTTTATTTGATCGTTAATAAATCATCATTTAATTTCTTAGTTATTTCTTAATTTTCTTAATACATTAATTTTTCTGTGTGTAGCTGGGGTCTTAGCTCAGGTAAAAAAAAATTGTAAATAATTCCGTTTATGCGGCATGCGAAGACAAAACACATAAAACTGCCAACCAACCGAGCAGCCAGGCAGCCAACGAGCTGTGAGGGGGGTTGGGTGGAGATGGGCGATGGGTGGTGGGTGGTGGTTTCAGCCAGGTGAGAGGGGTGGCCAAAGGTGAACCCCAAGTGCTGTTAGAATTTACTACGCTCGGGGGGCGGGGCAGGCAGGCGCTGCAGGTCATTTTCATGGCTGCCGTGGCATACGTAATTGAATAGCAGACAGCAGGAACAAGGAAGAACCGAGCGGAGGGAAATGGAAGTGGAAATGGGAATGGGTCCAAATATACCTCGCACTCGTTGGATTAATTTTTAATGAATTCTCTCCTTTAGCCCGTGCTCAGTCTCGTTCTCATTCCCATTCCCATAGCCATACCCATTCCGTTTCCATTGCTGCGACGTCTTGCATTTAGACCGTCTTTATTTGCGGCAGCCAAGACAAATACACAATAAAGCGACGTGTGTGTGAGCCAGGATATAAAAACTTAAGTGAGATCGAGTAGAGGCGTGTGGAGTGGGATCTCTGGGCTAAAGTGGGGAGGGGGGTCACTTAAAGCCATTTAAGTTTGGCGTCAGTCTGCTGCCTCATATGGAAATGCAAATATGGTGGAAGGGAAGCGAGTTTGAGCCACAGGAATTATGAAAAATATGCCAGTTCACAGCGCAAAAGGATGACGGAAGGGTGAGGGCGCATTGCATGCACATGCAAGCGGATTAACATTTAAATTAAAAAAGCAAAGGCCGCAAAGTGCTAAAGCAAATAAACAAAAGAGCGAAAATAGGGCACTGTTACGACTAGGAGATACCTAGTAAAAAATAATATAATAAAAAATGTGGCTAGGCAAAGTAACAGTCTTTAATATTTTAGAAAATATATATGATATAATTTATTCAAAATAATCTTTTATTTATTTTCCACTTACTAAAATGGATAAAACCAAAAATCCTTTCTAATTTTTGTACCATTTAGTATTTGCTTTATAACTTATTAAATCCTTATTTCTAAATGATATTATATTGCTCTGTATACCCGTAAAGGGTAAAACCTTTTGAAACTGCAGCGAAAAGCGAAGTTGCCAAAAAGCTCTCTCTCCCTTCGCAGGACTCGCATTCTCTTTCGCGTTCCTGCTCTCAGTTGCAAAACAGCTGCTTGTCCTGTGGCATAATTCCGTTTTTGTTTTCCTTTATTATTGTTGTGGCAGCTGCTAAATTTTGGTTTATCCCCCACATTTTTTTTAACCACAAGAGTAACCTCTGTGAGTCGTAATCCTTTTAGCAAAAAGGGCCCCTATTTGTTGCCTACTTTAGTGGGCTGTGCAAGGTGAAGTGAAGTCAAGTGGTCAAGTATTTTTTTTTCTGGAAAAATTTGTAACAAATTTAAAGCAAACAAATAAAAATATATATTTTTTAAAATATCTTTTTGTAATATTATAATATAGTTTTTACATATTAAACCAAAAAAGGCGCAAAGCTGCAGCTGCCGAAAGCTTATGTTTTATGTGGCAAAGCTCTCTTCGACAAGCTTTTGTAATGCAATTTTAGAGCGCAAACTATGAAATATTTGAATTCTATATTTCCAGACAATAATGTGAAAGAAATGTGATAAGCTGAAGTTGTCAGTGGTTCAGGGTAAGTCGGAGAAAAATATTATGTATTTACTTTCAATGCGAAATTTCTGCGATTTAAAAGAGATTATAAAAGCGTGCTTGAACTCTATTCCGAGGGGATTAGTCGGCCACTTGCATTAAGGCGAATTTAGCTATTGCTTTTTATACCATTTCAATGTGGAAAAACACAATATTCAACATTCTTTATTGAAAAATTATAGTTCTAGATAGTGCTCTAGAATAAATTTTACAAAGAAATAGCTATTGCACCTATAATTTCAGTAAAAATAAATCAAATATGATTATTTGATGACCTTTCTGCCCCCAATGCTGTTGTTGCCACACTCGTATCTGCAGCAAATTAGCATTTGTTCAGCCAACAACGGGAATGGAATTCTGCTCCTTGGTGGCCGTAAACAAAATGTTGCAGCATTTAGAGCGCAAATAAAAATGGCAACGAGGAAAACAAGTTCTC